AACTTTTTTTAAAAAGGATTAAGGAGTGGGGACAAGAAAAAACAAATGTACTTTTTCCATGTTTACTGTAAAGTTTTATTACAGTATAGTTATTTCTGTAAAATATGAATTGTAGAAGAAGGCTTTTCTGTGTGGTTATTCCTAGAAGATGTGTAAGTGCTCTAGAAAAAAACATTCTTGTAAATCGTAATTGGATTCTGTCATAAATTTTAAGATTTGCTCCATTTTGTAAATTGAATGAGTTGTTGGTGCTGGACGGACATGAGCACTCTTTAGCAAACCACAGCCAGCCACGCTGCCGAAGTTACCTCAAACCTATGACTGCAAAAGGGGAAATACATTTTTTAGGGACTAACTGACCCTGGTCCTTCCCTTACTGGAAGAGATTATCCAAAAATAGGACTGTTGTGCTTGAATTTGAGCACTGCCAATCAATCATAAAATTGAAATTTCAAAATTTGTTTCTTGTAGGCTGCTGTGCAGTGGTAATTATGGATCTAATTTCCATATGGTATTTTAAAAGGAAAATGCTTCTCATGATTAATGTCATTTATATAAAACTTATGCATGTGTGCTACACAATAAAGTTGAAGATTTGAGCCTCTGTAGGAAATATTCTGACACAAAGCGTCTTTTGAAATGTGAAATGTGTCAACACTGAAAGCAAATATTGTTTTTCTGTGCAAATAAATTTAGTAAGTAAAACTTTTTCAGTAATTGGAAAGCTTAGTATCTGTTTCCCTATGGCTCCTGGGTATTAAATGCAAAGTTATATTTACAATTAAGCTATAAACTCTGCTTTTTGTTGTATTATAGTAACTTTACAATAAATTGTTCATCCAGCCTGTTTACCGAAGAGGGAAGTGGGTGAAAGAAATGTGATTGTTAGACCGCTAGCAAGCTGGTCAAATATTCAGATGTAACTGGAGTTATTCTGTATCATAGTTCAGTATCTCATTTATAGGCCTTACAGGATTTGCTAGTGCTGTGTGCAGCCATTATGTTCAATAATGTAGCTGCTGTTAATGCCAAAGTGTCACTGGTGGAATAGTCTCTTTTAAAGGTTACCATTCTGCCAGAATAACCAGTGCTCAGTCATCGTTCAACATCACCTTGCTACAAGCTGCTACTGTTAAAATATCTTAAAATAGGGGCCTCTAAAGCACTTTTCACATACTAACTTTCTGAAAACAATTGAAGCTTCTAGTTTTTTGAACCAGGTGAATTTACAGTTACACACTGATACACACTGCTTCTAGCTAGCATCACTTTCAAGACCTAATTGTTCTCTTCAAATGAATAGCAGCGAAATTACATTATAGAGCTACTGTATAATTTACTTTAAATAATGTCAAGAAGTCTTTAACGTCCAGCTAGTTTTTAACTGAAGAGATTTGTGTGGAAAATTCTGAATTTCTATTGCTAAGTCATAAGTAATAAGCCAAAACGGTTCAACTTGTAGACGACACAATGTACATACATTTCCAACAGATGCTTAATTTCTTTTAAGACTATATTCTTGTACTTTGTTTTAGGAAGAAAATATGACTGTAACAGAGGATTTTAGTAGAGTAGAAAATGCTTACCAAATGGAAGCAGAGGTATGTATTGAACCTAACCAAAAATAATAATTTAAAAAAAAAAAAGAAATGTAGCAAGGACCAATGAACATTTGCAGACTCTTTCCTCATACCGAGGAGTAGATGTTCTCTACAGTGAAGGCAGCACAGTCCAAAGAAACTACTGAAGGACTGCAGTTTAAAGCAGAGTTCAGCTGCAGTTTTCCGTTGTGTGCAGAACTTGTTTTCTCCTCCTGCAATACAGAAAGAATTCTTTTCTTCTCAGATGAATGTATGCGTTTTAAATACTGCACGATGCTACAGAAGGGAATATTTGATTCTGGGGCTCTATGGTTGTTGTTCTGTGGCAGCGTAAGCAAACCCACAATTCTGCACTCTCCTTCACCCATAGCCCTTCCTGCCCTCTATTTCTTGCAAGGAGTTGTACTTAGGTGATCTGGTGATAGGTCCGTTCAGAAAGCTGCTCCAGTTTATACCTTTTTATGGCAGATTAGCTTTTATTTTTCCCATTATTTTATCCCCCTGAACTGGAGGCAATGCAAGGCAGAGGACAAGAGTGGATGGGGCACAGCAGTGGCGTGGCAGCCCTGATCTGGATCTGCTTAAGCCACAGTTGAACGGCACCTGGACTTTGGTCTATTCTACATGACTCTGCTATCAGCTTACTGCAAGTCAAGCAGAGCTAATTGTTTCCTAGGTAATTGACTTGGAATTCTGTAGATAAAAAGTGCTGTATGGAAGCTAAATATTACGGGAATAATCCCAGAAGCAGCTCAAGGGAGTATATTTTTGCACGTTCATGCTATAGTAAGAAATAAATGCTGTGCTGGAAACATTCGATGAGGGAAATTATGTGTTTTCAGCCAATGAATCTTTTTAGAGCATCACACTTTAATCACTACCCAGCAAATTTACAGATTCTGATGAAGTAAACCTGGAAGCCTGCAATAAAATGTTAGCTGTTTTATAGAGCTGTTGTTTACGATCCCCTAAAACAGGATTCAGCCTCTTTAGTTTGCTTGCTTTAAGGCACATTCTCATCTAAATAACACCAATAAATACGGAAATAATGGAGAATTTGGAGAAAAAAATTTGGATTTTAAAATGAGTCTTAGATACTTAAATGGTATGCATCAGTGTCATGTTCTGAATGACTTCAGTTTCATAATGTAGACACAGACTGTCACAAGAGCTTAAATTACCTCATTTTTTAGATGAGCTGCACTTAAAAATTAATACAACTGTATTGAATTATTATTTAGGCTACCAACAAGCTTAGGCTTACAACTTCAGTCTTAAGTGGCAACTTAACCACTCATCTCCCTTCTGCTATGAATTCTTATACAACAAAGGTTGTAGGTGGGAAGCTGATTACATGGCTTTAGTGTTAATTTGTAGGCAGCTTGGACCAGCTGCGATTGCTGTTCAAAAGTTGTTTGGTTGCCTAGGACCTGGGTGTCAGAACTTGAAAAATCTAGCTGCCGTTTTGGCTGCCCTGTACACTTAAGCAGCAGTGTGCTTGCTCTTTATGCAGAGATTAGTTTCTCCTTGCTTCTCCCTTTATGTACGTACTTGTTTCATTAGCGCAGTTTCATAAACCAATGAAGTTCCATTGACCAGCATGTTTGCATACTTTAGCAATATAAATGAATTTAAAATTAACTTCCACTCACTTCTTTACTAAGAATTTTGCCATTATATTTGTGTTACATATGGAAGCTATGCATTATTTTATTCTATAAACTCTTTTTACCATTTGTCTACTGTCAGAGTTCCGAGAAGACTGAAGAAAGTCCCAGACAAATAGATATTTTAAGGTACAATTAAGAATTCAAGATATGCTTTCAACTGTAAGGAGATAAATTTTAATTCATGCTAACAAAGGAAAATATGCAGGAGAATGAAGTTGTGTATGAGATCACAAAGCTCTATAATATCTTAATTATAATTGTTTCTTGCATGATGATCTCATGGGATGAAGATTATGTTGGGTTTGTGCATTTCTTAATATAGTTGCCTCCTTAAAAAACATAATTTCTTGTCCTTTACAGCCTTATCCAAACCTCGTGATGTCCATAATGGTTTTACATACCCTCATCTTACTTTTTCACACTTTTTAACCTTAATCATAATTGAAGAAATTTAAATACTGCTTTGCATTCTCATGCTCAGATATCCTTTGTAAATGTAAGTGGAATTTATTGGATCTAGCCCTAAATGAAAACTCTGATTTTTACAGGGGAAAACCAACAAAATTCACAGTTGTTGCTCAGTTGTTTTCTGCCCCTGAGGGTACCTGATCAGATGCTTCTTTTTTAACAATAAAGTTCCAGAGTGCCCAGAACTGCCCCAGTCTGAGCAGCTTATCTCTTGCTTAAGACCCACAGTTCTTTTGTTTGATCATTCTTTTGTTTCATCCCCTTGAGGGAACTAATCTTGTAAACACTGATAGCAATCTGGAAAACACTGTAACAGTCCTTATAGTATGACAGTTTTCTGGCAAAAAAGCACAAGAGGATGTATGCTTTTTATATATATGGCAAGAACTCCCACTGAAGAAAGAAATCTAGGTTGAGTCTCATCTTCAGTCTTTGTTAAATTGATAGTGCACCTTCCAGAAAGTGATCTAACCCCCAAGTTGCAGACAAAGGGTGTGCAGCTGAGATGAAGATGCAGACTCGGTGCAGTTTCGCACAACAGGCATGACCGTTTGTCCATGTAGAAGATGAAACTGCCTTGCTGCTCCATCTTGGTCAGTTTTTAAGGCCCTAAGCCCAGCTTTGGCTCAGTTGTGTGAAGAGCTGCTGAGCCAGTGCAAAGATTCAAGCCAGGATGAGGAACATATACTGCACGGAGAGGCTACCAAGGGTAACAGGACGCATGCATTAATTGCTTTGTGATAATTGTTGATATCCATTTTTTACCTTACCCTGTATATGAAGTAGCCCCCTCCTCTCTCACAACTTCCTTGAATTACCTCATTTTCCACACAGTAAAGCTGTGGTATGCACATGGGAAGCTACTGCAGTGCGGCTGATGTGCCATAACTTGGCTTTCTGTACCATATACCTTCACTGGGACAGATCGTGGCATGGACTGCAGCAATCACAGGGGTGACTGTACATCACAGGGCTTGGCTGTGGAATTTTCTTTACCACAGCTTTTTCTTCCCCTGCTGTTGAAGCTGTATTACTGTGCAAAAATGAGTCAGGGATAAGAGAGGTGAGCTTGACTTAGTGGCGAGAGCACTGTACTGGGAAGTGAAGATGAGGGTTTAGTTCCTCTAAAAAAGTTTGGTATCCAGGATTTCTGATTCCTGAATGCTGTAGCAGCTTGGCATCGTTGCTTCACTCCTGGTGACTGTGCTCTGCCACAGAAAAAGGCTGGCTCCTGCCTGACTGGCCCTTCCCCGGGAGGAAGGCTGTAGGGCTCTGTGTCCAGGGCTGATAGTGACTTCTGCTTTGTAGCACTTGGGAAAGCACCTGAATTCTTCATGCATCTATATTTAACGATGCTTATTGCCAAAGCCACAGACAGCTGGGTGTTTAAATTGTTTGAAATCCAAGTCTGAAGTACATGGTTCTCTGTAGGTACTAGAGTAAGTCTGTTCAGCCAAGACAGGGTTTCAAGCCTACTACAAGCTGGACTGGGCTAGGCTTAGTTTAGTCTCGTAGTTTAGGGTTTTTGAACCTAATGCTTGGAATTAAAATGTAATTGTCCTTTCAGGACAATGTTTTCGACATCATTTTGCTTGGGCTTCTGCATAGTTAACATCTAATAATCTAAAGAGGGAAGAGCCAGGATGCATCTAGTTGTATGTCCCAAAGAACACGTTCATTCTTCAAATTGTCTACATACCAAGAATGCCGTAATTCCTCACAAAAGAGCATTTTGTAATCCTCTATTTTAAACCATTTTATGACCTTCTTTCTGTTGCAAACCCAATGATAGTCTCTAGGGCTATATAAAAGTATTCTAAGTAAATAAATGTTGGAGTTAGATACAGGACTAGTATGTTCAGTTAGTTTGTACATACCCGGCTTTATACTGAGTCAAATAGAAGTGTTGACTCACGTAGGGGGAAAATGAAAAAAATTACTTGTGTGATGTCTGTGTTCACTCCCAGGTCTGTATTATATTCAGCGATTTTGGAAAAATGCAGAATGTTTGCAATCTACTCATTGAAAAGTTAGGAACCTCTGTTACCATCAGTCCACCTCATTTCTACCATACACCAGAAGCTGTAGACGCCCTTCGGTAAGTTCTCTCTCACACCACCAATTTTATAGCCTCAGATAACAATGGGAATGAATACATAATTTACACTGTTTGTAATGGGAGCAAATAGTTTCCTTCATACCTAGTAAAATTTACGTTCAAATATTTCAGTATTTGTTTTAAATGTAACTAATAAATTAATGCTGTTCAGCCTAGAAGATGTAGCTTGTTCTTTCTACGGTGTCCCTGTGCAAAAGCAGACTGTAATAAAAAATATTTTCCCACTGATTTCCATTGGAAGTATAATCTACCGTGAATATTAGGTCAACAGAATTTGACTTTGGTTACATCAGCACGTGTAGATTTAATTTGTATTTATATGTGGAGGTACCAGTGTGTTACCAGATGTTGGTAATTCTGAGTGCCCTTGCCGATTCCCGTTACTTTTAGCTGCTGACCATCTGAAAAGAGCCAGATAGGGTGCTTACTCAGCATGGAAACATGCTACTTTGAAGCTCGCAGCCTTGATGTTTTAGGCATTAACTATTCAAAGTCCTGCTTCTCCATTGACATTGCGGTGGCAGAGGGAAGTTTAATCTTGGTTTGGGTTTTGCCTTTTTAAAGAAAATTAGGCCTTGTCCAAGCAGCAAGCTCAACCAGCTGCTGCCAACAGTCTGGAGATGTCAGAAGTGTGTCTGTCTCAAAGGTAGCCATGCAGGAGCCTGGAAGTCAGGCCGCTGAGGTTCAGTAGGTGCTAGTACGCCTTACAGCTGGGCCACCCGAACGCCTGGAGCAAGGGCCGAACTCTTGCTCTGCACCACAGCTGCCTGCGACATGTAGGGGTTAGAAACGCTTGGTCACAGCTGATGAGGATGCTGACATTTTTTCCACACACTCCGCCCTCAAACTCTTAAACTATCGCCCAGAAGCTGCCTTACATCTATGCAGGTACAAAAGCTGAGGCATTTTTAAAAAAAAAAAAAAAAAAAAATTGTTTGGCAGGAATACCTGTACGGCTGTTGGCCCTGCTTGTTATTGTGCTGCTTTTTGTACCTCTCAGCCGGCAAGTGTGCGTTGCTGCTGTTGGAAACACACGGCGGAAAGCTCAAGAAGTCTGCCGACTGTTTGGCCAGTCAGTGGGAAAACCTTTATTAATACGAGAAGAAGAAACAAAAGAATGGGGAGGCCACATAGACACTCATCTGTTGACCTCTCTGGATTCACTGACTCTGCAGGAAAGAATCCAGAACGCTACTGCTTATGCTTCTTGTAGAGTGTTTGCTGTGTTTGAGATAAAGGGAAAAGAAAACAGAAGAAATAAGTTGCTCTAGAAACTTTCAAATCCTACGTATTTTCTTAATAAAATGTTTATGCTTTCTTAAGGTTTTTGTTGTTGTTTTTTACTTTATTCTTGTGGTAGCAAGTAGAGTTAAGAGAGCATATTGAGAATGAAGTTTGTGTAGTGAGCCAAAGTAGAAGGTTTCTTAACATATCTGTCCAGGTGCAAAAAGATAGATGAACTCTTCCTTTACACGTATCATTTGAAAGCAGCACAATGCATGCTTTTGGAGAGAGAGTAGTCAAAGTGTTGCAGGATTTACTTACTACAGCCCTCCCCAGAAATATTTCTGTTCCTGTCCCCTAAAATTAAGGTTACAATTAACTCTGAAGGTACAGTTCTTAACGGTTTAGTTTCTTCCTCTGCCACCTGAAGAAGTGCAAGATAGCTGATGTGCAAAACCTTTAGTACTCCTAGGTGAAACTGGGCTATACTTAAACCTTTCCTCCCAAATCTAGAAGGAAATTAATCCCCATCCCCAGTCATGGTAAACAGAACATACGGTGTGTTCACTTCTAACAAAATGGATTGTTCAACATAGAAAATGCTTAGGAATGTTTTATTTCATCACAGGAAAAAATATACGTGAGTTTTATCCTGGTGTTTATTTGCTTAAGTTAAAAAGGAAGGATGTTGTCTGGATGTACATTACATGCACAAACTCTGAAGTACTTCAGTCATGAGGATAGATTTTTTTCAACCATGGCTGCATAATGTATTTTGATCCATCATATCCACTGAAATAGGCTTTCATATCAGGGTGATGCACCTGAGCAAACAATATTTGAAATTGAATAAGCACCAGAATTAGCAATAAATACACCTGAGAAAATAATATTTCAAATTGAATAAGGACCAGAATTAGCAATAAATACAAACTGATACTTAAGAGAATCATTAAAGTTACTACAGTTAACTTTTTGAAAACTGCTAATTAGTTTTTAAATGCATGATGTACATAGAGATACTTTCAGTGCAATTTTCCATGTACCTTAACCTAATTTATGTCATCAGAACAGTGGCTTTCTCAAAGTACTCTACAAATGTCGAACCTATCTCATGAGATATTATGTGCTAGATCTACGCTGGCACTGACGTTTTAAAATCAGCACTGTTTCTTATTGACGTAGTTGCCACTCGCTTGTTGCTGTTTGTTTTTTTTTTTCAGCTGGATCAGTTATCCAATCCAATTAGGCAGCAGGAACAGTAAAGCAGCAGTCAGGAAAATGGTGAAGACACCATTTGATGGCCTTAGGTACCACAACATCCAACTGGAAGATGCAAATCCACAAAGGGCAATCCAAGTTACATGCCTCGTCATGACGCATAAAGCCTACAGTGAGCAGGTTAGAGCTGCGAACCGGGAAAGGGTTAGGACAAGTCTAAGCATTTTCTCATCAGTCTCAACTCTTCAGGAAATTACTCTGCCTGTTAGGCTGTTGGAAAGGCTGAGCGAGGGCAATCCACAGACCCTCTTTTGAGCTTGAGGTACAGGCATGACTCACCGTTTGTAATTCATCTCAACTAGACAACTTGCAAATAGCTTGATGCCATCAGTTCCCCTAATAATCTGTGGGGAGAATTAGCCTGTCATGCGGGTGGATGAAGCAATGTGGTATCTTAAAGGCTAATTTACACAAGGTGAATGTTTAAGGTGAGGTACTTGTTTCTCCCCATGGACTGTAAAGGTAACCGAAGGTAGCCAGCTGACTGATGTAACAAAAGGTGCATTTTTTAGACCCATAACTTAGAGTGGTCAGAACCTAATTTTAAATACTTACGACGCTTATCTGGGACAGTATCATTCTTGCTCCAAGTTCAGGCATGTTAGCACATTTTATATTACAATCAGTGGCTAAAACAGAAACAAGGACTGGAACTAAGGCCTCTCCCAAGTAAAAGAGGAAGCGGCATCACGCTGTTCGGCACCACTGGTCAAGGGGGGCCCTTTATGTGCAGCGGCAGAGTTTCAAGAGACAGCATCGAGGAGTCTTCAGGCCAGCCTAACTTACACAGTTCCTTTGGGGGCTCTCCTGAAAGGCAAACGATGCCAATTTGAATCTCCTCTCTTTGACCAGACTACACATCTCCTGTTAGATGAATGGCTCAGCTACTTGCTCTTATTTTAAATATAGATGCTGAAAAAGAAGGCATCCACAATAGCACAGGATCCCTTGCAAAAAGCTGTTTGTATGTGGCATGCATGCCTGAAGGCTGTGGTCTGGATCAGAGTCTCCGACTAGTTTTAAGAATCAGGTGCACCTTGCGTAAGCTAGAAATCAAAATAGAATTTTTGGCTCCCAGAGAGCTGTGCCATTAAGAAAGGAGGCATTATTCAGTCTGGGCAGCAGCTGAGCAGGAGCTGTTTGAAATGCAGATGTTTCAGAACAGAATTGAGAAACCAGTATACTTTGCTAGATCCAGTAGAAAGAGATGAAATAACTCGTCCAACTTTGGTAAGTCAGTGAAATCCCAAAACAAAAGTCCGTGTCTGCAGCAGCCTGCACATAACAGAAGCTGGGTTGCTAAAACACTTACAAAACTAGGCAGTTGGGTACTCTAAAGTAGAGAGTACCTGGGTTTGGTCATTTATCACCTTCCAAAAACACATACTTGAAAGTACAGCAGTAACTTGTTTATCTGCTTGCTCCATTAGTTTTCATTAACTTTGCAAAATAGATAGTATCTATTAAGCCAAAGGTCAACCAGCTTTTAAAGGCACAGGATAACAAGTTGCAACTGAATTAAAAAAATAATACTACCTCTAATCCCACAATAATTGTTATCTCTTCCTCAGGAATATAAGCTGCAGACTTGCCAAATCCATTTGCTTTGTTAATTAGAATTCGATAGTGAGGAGTATCTTTTAGATCCTGTAAAAATAGAAGGAAAATAAATAGCCTCATGGGGAGATGATGACTAAAGATTACATTATATAATCAGTTAACTCTCACTAGGCTTACAGAACCTAAACCCACTCGATATACACATACAGCAAGTTCATTTTCATGATCTTACCAATGTCCGTTTGGAAAATTAAATAAAAAGCAATCAAAACTGTAATACGTTAAGTTCTTGGCGTATCTGAAACGTCTTTTAAGAGTCAAGATTTTAATTAACCTTTTCTCTCATAGATCTTGCAAGAAACATGACTTAGAATATCCTCGCTTTATATAGGTCCCATAACAATTTGTTAGTCACCCTTCTTCCTTCACAAGGGGCAACAGAGAAAGAGGCAAATTCAGAACACGATACCACCTCTGCAATCTTGGTCCCGATCCTGGACAGAGCTAAGGCAACTTCTACGTACACCTAAAAATCTTCCAGGCAAGAAAGGAAAAGCGTGGCTTACTATTATTTTTACAGTGCCTATGAAAACAAGTCATGGGCCAGGGTCCCACCACGCTCACTACTATCCATAAACATTCCTGCCCAAAGTAACCCACAATCTGAACACAAAAGAGTGATGGATGAATACAGACAGATAACTGGAGTTTATGAGGCAGTCAGTATCAATCAATGTGACAGCCAGTGGCCTTTGCTCAGAAATTTAGTAAAGAACTGAAAGTCAGAGAAAGGCAAGGAGAAGTTGGGCTGAAAGCCTGGCTAATGTTTAGGGGGGATTTGCAAGGACTAAGCTTAGTGGTTACCTCGTAAAGGTCAGAAGGTATTTGCATAGCAAAATGATAGGTAAAGGCAAGTTAAGAAAACCCCAAAGACACACACTTAAACCACATGTCATCACTATTGAAAATAAAATAGTGACGATTAACACAAGGTCATTGGGAGAACAGAACGCTATAACTACGTACAAAGAATCAGAACGCTTGGTGGGAAATTCATGGGTGTTCAGTTGGCAACAACAATACTGAGAGAAGAAGGAGAGGAGAAAAGAAAGCAAGGATGCAGGTGGTTTAGAAGCCAAAGATGAGTGGCAGGTGGATAAAATTACAGCAGGGAAGGAAAAAAACGCACAAAATCAGACTGAATGTCTGCTCCCAGCTGTACATGAATTCTTTGTACAGGCAGAGTTTCCCATTTTTTCTCATTTTCAGTCCTCTTTGACTTAATGCTTAGTGCCTTCTGCCACTTACACAGCACGTCAGCGGCCGACCCGCAGAGTCTGCAGCACTGGATCGTCAGACCAGCACTGTCGACAAAGATTTAGCATCTGATTTTCAAATACAACAAGGCCTTCGGCTAGAGAATTTCAAAAGCTTCAAGAATTCTAACAAAAATACGATGTTAAATAGATTTACATTCCAATTATCCAGATCCTCAAAAACATTGCTTTCTAATCGCAATTGATTAAACGCAAAGGATTACTTGCATTTCTTAGGTGTACTGAAGATGTTACCAATTATGGATGATCAGATAAAAGATTTAACAGCCTCTCGACTTCAGTAGCACACCACAAGAAATCCATTCAAACATTGTAGGTTGACGCTGCTACTTTAAATACAACACTGTGCACTAAAAGTGAGTAATTCTAATTCAAGACATGTCCCGTACAACCCGGACCAGCGAAGCTTAACCAATCAGAGTGCAAAAGCAAAGCTTTGCTGGGACGAGAGCGCAGAAGCAGCAGAGGTACTGCTCAGCCATACAGGTGATAGGGGACTCAAGTATTTCTGGATTAGGTTAGCAGGAAATCTGTCTGGAACAGTGTTTCTGAGTTTTTTTTTTTAACCTGAGTTAAATTCTTGCTTTATTAATACATACACAGAATAAAAATTCAAACCTGTTTTGCTGGAGGGTATTTGTGTTGCAGCCATTCTTCTGGAGTGTTAGCTTTTACATCCCATCCAACAATGACTCCTGAATAGCCAAATCTTTTGTGAACTATTACCTGTCCCACACTGTACTGAATATATTCAGGCTTTGGACTGCGAACATGAGTTGATTCTAATTTAACAAAGAGACTTAGCAAGGATAAGTGTTTGAATAAGTATATTAAAACATTTAAACAGAAATTCTTCTGACTTCTACCAGAAGACAGCTGGCAATTACATTAATAGGTGAAGTAAACAAGGGAACAGGTAC